AACGTGTTGGGACAGTTTTAAGTTGAATGGTCAGTGGAATAAGTTTTAAAGGTGGGTTAGTTAACCGTGACATGTATGAAAGTTCAGTGGCTAATGAAACATTTAACTCGTATAATATAAATATTAAAAGAAAGAATATTTCACTATAAATAGTTTAAACAGATTAAGCATGTTTGATATCCTTCATCACAAATTCTTTCTTGTGCCTATTCATTTTCAACCACGTTCACAAAATAAAATATTATGTACGTAAATTCAATGTTTTTTTAAATTTTTAACCAAACATCCTCCAAAAATTCGTTATTGAAAACATTGAAAATCCCAAATAATGGCTATCAAACAACGACTGAAATTATCGAAGTGGGAAATCGAACAAGAAGGTGAAGTGTGGGGGTGGAGTGCAGATTTTTCTTTTTCTTTTTGATTTTAATTATTTTATATGATATAATATAAATTACTATTTACCACTTTAAAATTTGGTAAGAAAATAAAGTTTTGATGGTTCGGAATTGAGGGTGGTACAAATAAAAAAAATTGGGTTTAGTTTGTAAAAACAATAAAAGGTTTGGGATCACAGCTATAATTATTCATTTTTAATTTTGGCAAATTTTATTATTTTTAATGACTAAACTAATAGAATTGGACGGTAGGGAACCTTCCGCATCTCAAAGGTCATATAGGGAGTTTTCCGCCAATATGAAAGGATGGAGAGTATTGCACAATATGGTCAAAGATTGGGGGGTCTTAGCCTTAAAGCAGAAAAATGTTCCCACTTCCATTAGTCCCCAAATATTCTCTATTTTTACGGCGAAGATCTGATAGCATATTCGAGTAAACCATAAACTAATAATTCTTTTCCTAATCATTTATTTTTGAATAATGTTATCTATCATTAGTGTTAATCATCAATTTAGATTGCACATTAAATGGGTAATTCATTTAAATATAAAGTCATTTAACTCATTTAATTGAACTTATAGAATATAGTCACTTGGTGTTAGATATCATTAATATTTATTTTTTATATAATTTTTGTTTAAAATTAAAGGTTGATTTTATGTTTAACAAAGTAATAGATGTTGTAAATGGTTATTTATTAGTGAATGACAATTGTATCCCTACATCATTCTCTATAAATATAGAGTTTTACTTCTCATTATAATACAAACAAATTTATTGATTTTTATTTTATTTTCTCTTTCTCTCTCCTTTTATAATACGTTATCTGCACAAAAGTTTAATTTTTCAAAGTTTAGTGAAGATATTAATTTTTTTAAGCATAATCATCTATCATGTATAACAAAATTAATTTGGTAACAGGTGAATCCTTTTTATATATATACATGTCTAGCCCATAATTCATATCAATGGGTTTCATTATGTGCTCACGTGAATTGGTTTATATTAATTGGTTTATGTTAATTAGTTTCATTATGTGCCTCATGTTAATTGGAATATGTTAATTGGTTTCATATTGATATTTCAATTTGTTGTTTTCCGCCATTATCAATTTTGTATCTTTAAATTATGTCTAGTTACTCGCGTTTTCTTATATATCTTATCATATTTGTATCATGTCTCTTTAATTTTGCCTTTGTTAATTAAAACATGTATATCTTATTTACCAATATTTGTTTATTTGCAATTATAAAAATATATCTTTGTTGTTGCTCTTGAAATAACACAACATTATAATTAATATTCTTGAAAAATATTACTTGCTCTTGAAGAGCATAAATTATAATTTTCAATATTCTAGAAAAATATTGACATATTGTTCTTGAAGAAATAATAGTAAAATACAACGTGCGCGGGGATAGAGCCAAACCTTTGGCATTGTGGGGTCAAAAATTGAAATACAATTTTTTTAAAACAACATATCATTAATGAAGATAAGTCAATACACTACTATAACTGCAGCCTACGCATTTTCATACTCTGAAAACGTCGTATAATTACATCATTATTAATATGGTCGAATACATCGTTCTCGATATATGCAACCAAACTATCACTTTACCATTGATCTCCCATTCGATTACGCAGTCGATTCTTGACAATCTCCATTGCAGAAAATACTCTATCTACCATAGCAGTAGCAACTGGAAGAATCAACGCCAATGTTACAAGCCTGTAAACTAATGGGTACACCTCATTTTTTTTTCATCATAACCAACTTTTCTGCAAGATTATTAAGGCCTCGTAACCTTTCAAAATATTTGTGAGTGNAATGAAAGCCCTTGTTGTAGAAGCAATCTAATGCAATCAATTGACGCATTCAGACGAATTCGATACTCATCTTTCGTTCTTTTCGACTTCTTAAAGAGAACACAATCATATTTTGTTTCTGATTCACAAAAGCCTAATACGTAATCTGCGCTTGGTTCTGTGCACTACCACTTTTCCCAACATGAGTTTGAAGCTTTCCTTTCTTTTTCCAGTTTGAGAACCCTCTATCAATAAAATAATCACCCCCCACCATGTTCTTCACGATTTGGATTGAAAAGGTAACAATAAAAGAAAAATAGGGCATCTTTTGCTATGCTGTATTCCAACCAATAAAGAAAGTCATTAATCCAAGAAGTTTTAAATCGTCTTAACGACAAATCTCCATATTGTTTTTGTGGACACAAGTGAGTTCGAGGCTGACATGGACCCCTTTGTACATATGTTCTTCGAATTTCATCTCGGACATTAACATTATAATTCACAATTGGAGTTCTTAATTCGGGATCCGAAGGAAGTTGTGCTAAATCTATTTTATCATTAACGTCTCTTTTATCCCCAATATTTAATTCTTCTCGGCCATCTATTTCATTTTGAACACTCGATTCAACTACATTTTGCTCTCCACTCGAAAATACGGATTTTCGTTTAAAATATTTCACCATGACTGTTACAAAATCAAATTCAATACATAAATAAATAAATAAATATCATTTTTCATTTTTCATCAAAAGACAAACTTACATACATAAATCATAATAGACAACAATAAATTTCATGAACATTTCTAGATCATCAAGTTAGAGAAAGCCATTACTTACTTGAAATTGAGAATGATGTCTAAACTTGAAATTAGGTCAGGTGAATGAACTCAATTTGATGGATAGATCGTAGACGAGAGACGGAGAGAGACTGGATTCTGATAAATTATGGAAGACATATTGCAATGAATAAAACATTAATAAATAATAAGATTAAGGAAGAATAATATTTGAGTTACGATAATTTTGAAATGTTTATTGCTCGCAACTCGCTGGAAAGGAAATAAATAAATTTTAGCAATTAATGGTGAAGTCTGATGGAACCAGGATCCATCACCTAATTCATTCTAAAGTTCAAAAGTTCTAAAAGATTTTCACCGATAAATTTTAGCAATTAACAAATCGACAAAAAATTACTTTTCCAACCGACAAGAATTCGTTTAAATCCAAAAGAGGGACATGGCCAATAACTTTAAGGAACAAAATTTAATAGTTTATATTGGAATTTGGGAAAAGTAAACAAACCTGAGTGGCTGATCCAAAGAAATACAATATTTCCAAAGATGTCGCTAA